GAGGGTGCAGAGGGCACCTTCCAGGCCCGCAGCCCCATTGTGGCTCTTCAGGCATTCAGATACGCAGACAGCAGAGCCTCTGGCTCTTCCCAAATCCCTGAGAGACCCCCTGGTCATGACAAACGACCCCTTTGAGCAGCCAAGGTCCTTGACCCTCTGTACTGTCCTGGGAGCCCAGCTTCCTACCACTCAGTCCAAATCCTTCTCCTCAGTAGAAACAGGGCTCGCTCTCTGCCCTCTCCCAGCGTCACCAAGTGGGGCAGAGAGCTCCTAGCGGCAGGGCAGTCTCAGGGGAGAAAGGTCAGGACATGCCTCACACCAACGTACAGCAGCAGCACCACAATGCGTTCAGACTAGGCCTAACATGTGCACACTCTGTTATTATCCCCATGCATGGGGGAGGGGCTGGGGCAGAGAGGTTGCCTGGCTGTAAGATGACAGGCTGAAGCCCCTGGTCATCCGGTCCCAGCGCTCCTGGCAGAGCAAGGACTACTTTCCTGACAGTCGCGCAGGTGAGAAAGCTCAGGTCACGAGACTCCTCTGAAAGCAACTCCCAGGGCCATTAGGTCTTGGCTGCACGGACTCTAAATTCTATCATTTTCCTGTTTGTGAAACCCACCACTTCTTTCATGTTTTTTTCACATGTTCCTCCTGCTTCCTTGGGCTTCAGGCTATCTCATTTTTCTTCTCTATAGTCTGGAAGTGAACACTTAGCTCATGTACTATTTATTCTCTCTTGCACAGAATGAAAATATTTGAGATCCAAGTTTCCTCCGACGACATTTTTGGCTGCCTCCTGGGTTCACTGGAGAGCGTTTTCTGTACTAGCCTTTTCTAAATGCACTGTCTTGCGATGTTGCCTCCTCTTGGACCGCGGTCACTTGGAAGCCCCTCTCGAGCTGTCTGCTGACCTCAGTGCGACTGAGGATCACTTCCAGTTCCCCAGGGCGTGGTGGAGAATCGCCATTCGTGCGGCGGTGTTCGGTGTCTGTCCCGTGCACGTGGCTCCTGCAAGCAGGCACCTGTCCCGCGAGCTCCCTTCACTGGAGACAGCAGGACCAGCATGCGACATCAGGATGGAAACCACAGTGGGGGCTCCTCTTCTGTCACTCCCTGGAAGCCTCACTTACCATTTCTTCCAGAAAGTTATTTCTCAATACTTCTGGCCTGACTTGCTGGTGGCACCTCTCCTGACTCCAGAATGGAGTGACTGTTCCTCCACCTTCTCAGTGGGAACCGGAGGGTTGTATATCCATCACCGTGTGCTGGGTTGTGCTGCCGTAACAAACACTCCCACAAGAGCCGACATTGGTTTCTTGCTCCCACAGGCCCGCTGTGAGCTGGCTGAGGCCCTGCTCTGAGAGGTCCTCACACCAGACCCCAGAGCAGGCCACCATCTGAAGCGTTGCTGGTTACCATGTGAACACTGGGTTTCATGTGCTGACTCTGGAAGCTTCCCCAAAGTGTCACGTCACATACATGTACTTTTGTGGACAGGTCAAGTCCACAGATATGCCTGACTCCAGCGGGGGCAGAGGGTGCAGGCCCATCCTGAGCCTGGAGAATGTCAAGCCACTCAGTAGGTGGAAAATCGGTCACACCATTTGCGTGTGCACCCACATGCACACTTGCACACTTGGGAGCACACACAACCACAATGCAAGAATACCTATGTGTGTACACACACTCAATAGCTGATATGTTCCCAGGAGTGCAGGTAAGCATCACGAAACAACCTCCTCAACTAAGCAGGGGTCTCTGAGTGCAGCGAGGAGTCAGCTGTGTGCCACCTTGGGAAACCGGATCCCCTCAGAGCAGCCATCGGCTCAGCCCCACGGGACCCACCCCCCCAGGGCGCCATCCTCTCCCCCAGCCCTCTGCAGTCTCCCTCATTTATTCTCCGTACCGTTCTCTCCGATCACTCCTGTAGGATGCGGGCTGCCCAGGGTCCCCACTGGGCTGGTATAAGGACGTGAGGTTCTCCTGGGAACCAGGACAGCGAGGATGTGGCGTTGGACACAGCAGGGTGTCTAGCACCACTTAACCAAGTTTTGTGTCCAACAGTGGGGTTATTTTTTCTCATCTACACAAACCAAGGACCCAGGGCCCATGTTTGGAGCACCTGGCCAGGACCCCCAGCTGGGGCCTGGGGAGGACCTCAGATTCTCGGGCCCCACCACAGCCCAGCCGTCTTTACCCAGGGCGAAGGGCAACCCCAGGCTTCAGAGGCAAACCTGGACACCCCCTACAGGGGCAACACGGTGCTGTTTTTAAGTGGTAATTACCCCAGAATAAGACAAAACCATAATTTCTAACTGTCCAGCACCACTATTAAGAAGAAAGGTTTGCAATTTATTTAGTAGGCTTGACATTTTGGTACCATGCAATATTTCACATAATTATAGAAAATTAAATGTTTAAGAAGTGATCCCTAAAAATCAAATGAGACAAGGGGGGCCAGCGGACTGCACGGGCCGGCAGCAGCAGAGGCAGGTGCCCCAGGGGACCTGAATGTTGCGAAGTGACACCAACCACCGCCAAGAGAATGGGACATTTACAAGACCGGGGGCAGATCAGGAGGACGTTTGCTAACGTTAAGATCCTGCTGTTTGATGTGTCTGGTCTGGCACTGGGTCTGTGGTCACACTTCCCAGGAGCCCTGCCTTCTGAGCTGCCTGTGGAAACGCTCCAGGTGGCAGAGGTGACGCCTGGGTCTCCTGGGTGGGGGCTGGGCTTGGAACTGACGGCTGTGGACACGCAGGACAGCCTTTAATTCCTTCCTAGTTTCTATGTGCCTAACATTTGTACAATAAAGAGCTAAAAAATACCACTCAGGCTGCGTTTTGAATCTGAGAAGTAAAGGACTATTTCTGGAAAAGATTCCATACTGTTAAAGGGTCTACTTTCTGGGGAGCCCGTGGGTCAGGCGCCCCGCTGGTAGCAGTCCCGGCAGGCAAGCTAGGCTCGTCTAATGGCTGCCGAGGTGACGGAGAGCTGACCCCACATACTAACCCTCCCCCAAATTGGGGAGGAGTCTGAGGAGGGGAGGCTGGGGAGCGGGCCATACCTTTGTGCCATAAAATGTCTTCTCATCAGGTAAAAGACACAAGCAGAGGCAGCATGTAATCCTGGTGCCTCCGAGGCCCAGTCCAGAGGCCCAGCTCCCAGATGTCCCTGGCCCCAGGGTAGGGGCCCAAAATACACTTGGAGAGAACCCAGGTCTCTCTGAATGGAAGAGATGGACCTGAAGATGGGTCCTGGAGGTGACAGGCCAGAGGACAAGGGGAACATCAGCCCTGGGGAGGCGGGGAGCGGGGGCTCGGGTCCGTCAGGCCCAGGGCACCTGCAGGAGGCAGAGGGAGGCTTTGGCTTGTACCCGAGGGAGCCCTGCAGCCAGAGGGCTGACTGGTACTAGATTCTCTAATTAAACATCGTTACGTAATTAGAATCTGCTCCCCCGCCCAGGAGAGTCGCTGAGGTGGGAGTGCTTGAAGCCCAGGCACCGCAGGCAGGGAGGGGGCTGTTGGGAGGGGGCTGGTCCAGGGAAAGGGAGGGGCACCTCCTCAGGGCACCTCGAGCCCTGTGCCGACCTGAACTGAGGAGACAGGCCAAGTGTGTAAGTGGGGGTCATGGGGGTATCAGGAAGCTCTGAAGACGTCATCAGGAAAAGCACCAACAGCTCCCAGGGCCATGCTTCCACCCAGCCGTCAAGGAAGGGGCCCTCCCCCTCTCCAGACCTCAGTTTCCCCTCCGGAGAGAAGGTTCCAGCCAGGGCCCCAGCTCGCCTGGCTCCCAGAGACTTCCTTCAGATGTAGCGACCAAGGCAATAAGGAAGGACAAGGCTCCAGACTTGACAGGAGGCCCACAGACTCCATGGCCCAAGTGCCTCTCTGGCACCGGAAATACATTTGGGTTCAGAAATACAAGTAATCACTGTTTTTGTACCAAGAATCTGACAATTAAGATTTCTCCCATCTTAAGAAAAACTTAAGACACAAACCAACATAAGGAATATGCAAATAACTGTCATTTTAACCTACATTATTTGAACGTCTTTAGAAGAAAAATGCAGCTTAGTTGAGTCTCTTTGACTTGAAATTCAGAAGGTTCTTTCTCTGTACAGACCCGCTGTCTCAGGTCCAGAAGCAGGGTACCCGCGCCCCGGGAACGCGACATCAGAAGGCCCGGAAGGCTGGCGTCCTGCTATCTCCACCAGCCAGCTGGCTCTGCTGATATCCTGGAAGCAGGCACCCTGGAAAACCCTAGTCATCGGGCGAGAACCCAGAGAGGCGTGGAGGGGCTGGGCCCCACCTCTCAGCCCCACGACCTCAGCCCAGGCTGCCAGCACCGGCTTTATCTCTGCATGAGGAACATTCCAGATGCAGCAGAGGTGCCGTTCATACAACACCTGGCCTCAAGTGGCACGAGAACCTGAGAGGCACAGCTGCCCTGCGTAACTCACCCTACTGGCTGATGCTGCACGGCCATCACCTGCGCTCTTTGTCCAGGACAAACCTTGAGATACCCAGGGCCTAGGGCATAAATGGGGTCTGAGTTCCTCTCAGGGCTGACTCATGGCAGCACCAGGGCCTGGTGAGTGCCGGGCAGGTAGCCAAGTGCGACCTTGATACAGCCATCAGTCCAATCACCCAGCTGTCTGAGGGTGGGACCCAGACCCACACCAAGGCTCCAAGGTGATTCCAGCAACCAGTGACCGGGTCCCTCGTGCAGTGGACCCCAGGGCTCACCCTTCGCTTGAGCCGCACGCCCTCCCATTCCCCTGAAGGTCACGGGCGGCTAGTCCCCACACAGCACAAACCCCATGCCCATTCTCCAAGGCCTGGGCAAGGCATCCACCCCTTGCACATCCTCGGATCAAGGGTTTAAGTCAATGTTTCTGCAGCCTGACCTTCCAACCTGGGACTCATAACAACAGTAACTGTATTACTCACAGGACAGCCAGGGCACACAAGGAAGCACGGTCCCCACTGTCTGAGTTCATACTGCGTTTATTGACCCTCTGGGGGTGGGGGTGGGGAGCTGGTCTGCCCCACGGGTCCCAACAAGTGAGGAAAAGTCGAAGGAGCTGCTCTCCAGGCTCAGAGTGGCAATGGCGAGGAGTAGGTCCTCTCTGGCACCTCATGTGTGTCCCCAGAGCTCACAGCATGCTCCCTGGACAGGTCAGAGCAGGCCACCACCGTCCAGCTGCATCTGCCGGGCCAGCTGCTGCCCGATGGCCAGCAGGGGGCTGGCTCTGTAGGCCGGACTGGCCAGCAAGTCCCGGAAGCGAGTCCTTTCTTCCTCACTGAAAGAATTGAGGTCAGAGGTCAGCGGACCCATGCCCGATGCAGTAGGCAGGACTTTTGGCACCCAGGACCTGCCTCAGCTGGGCCACCCCACACCCAGGCACCACAGTGCAGGCTGGACCCTGGAGTGGACAGGACCGCTTGGAGTGAGGGGTAGGGAGAGAGGAAGGCAGCCCCAGCTTCTCAAGCAGGGGCGGGGGCAGCCTTCTGGGTCAGGCTATGGGGGCCTGAGAGCTGAGCAGGGCTTTGGGTGCAGGGAAGAGGCTGCCCTGGGGTCTCTTCATGGTCACAGTGACCCTGGAGCCACTGTGCTCACCCATGGGGTGGCAGGTGCTGGCTCTCTGCCCCTTCCCCAGGGAGGAGGGATCTAGACCCCCACCCCCGACCTTGACAAGAAACTACTATTAAAGGCTGCCAAGTGCAGGGAGGCAGCAGCCTGCACATGCCCTGCAGATAGCCTTACATAAGAGGCACCCGCCTTCCAGCACTGCCAAAAGACGCGGCCACTGTAGGCACGAAAGGCCAGGAGCTCTGCGTCCCCCACAGGCCCCAGGCCAGCTCTGCTCACAGCAGGGCACCACCGTGACAGGCGGCACCTGGCACCTGCTGCCCTCCCAGCAGAGACAGCCTGGCTCAGGAGTGGGGGGGTGGGGGGGGCGGGGAGCCCATGCTCTGCCTCTGCATGTGTGATCGTGGGCAAGGCCACACCAGGCCAGGCCCCACCGTTACTGGCAGTTAACAGGAGACCTTGAACCCCACTAGACAAGCCCAAGCCAGGTGATAACACCTAGGACAGCACCACCCCCACAAGGACCTAGGCCCAAGGACAACCCCGTGGCGGCAGCTGCTCTCAACACTGCCCCAGGGAAGGGGCTTCCTGGTCCCACTGCAAACAGGTCACTTCATGCCGACCAGGTTGTGCCCCAGAGTTGGCCCCCGCCGAGCTGCCCACAGTACGCGAGTGGACTGAGGTTGGGGGACCTGGCCAGACACCCAACGGCCCAGGGAGGGAGGAGGGGGGCACACTCACAGGAGCTGGAGCCTCTGCGCCGCACTCATCCGGCTCAGCTCGGCCGGCCGGGGCTTGCTGCTGGCTCGGCTGTGGAGAGAGAGGTCGAGTCAGCACCCCACAGGCTGCAGCCCACGGCACGGCTTCAGGATGGTGCCGCGACCAGTGCTCCTCTCCGCAGGTGGGACTCCGGGAGCACAAGGGGGTTCCGGGGGAGAGGGACCCAGGGGCGGGAGGGGCGAAACGCCGCCCAGCCTTGGCCAACTGCGAAGTTCAGCCTCCAGGCCAGGAGGCTGAATCTTTCATTGACGTTTCTTTTAAAGCAGGAAATGAAAAACATTCTGGCCCACCCAGGACAACCCCTGCACCCCCATGTTCCCATCACTCTGGCTCAGCCTGACTTGGTGCCACCTCTGTCTGTTCCAGGATGCCGCTCCACTCCTCCTGCCACTGTCCCTGTCCCTGTGTCCCCCTGCGTGAGGCATGGCTCTCCCGGAACCTGCGCCTGCAGAACTGGGCTCAGGACTCCCTTCCTCCAGCTGAAGCCCCAGGAGGTGGCCATGCGCTCGGGGATCCATAAAAGAGGGTCTAACGTAGCTCTACCAGCCAGAGGCCTCGTGCCTTGGATCCCTACCCCCACTTAAAAGGTCGAATGGCAGGTGAGTTGAGGCCTCCCATAGCCTCTTCCGGTCCCAAGGTGACTGAGACAAATCCAGGAGTCTCTTCAGTGCCCATGGGGTCTGGAGTGGCTTACGCCCTCCTTGAAGGGTGGGAGGCAAGAGGTGCCAGGACTCACGCAGCCTCAGGGCCTAGGGCGTGGTGGGCAGCTACCCGGGTAGGTCTGACATCCACCCCAACAGGCTCCCCATGAGTCAAGGACACTGTGGACAAAGCCAGGCCAGGTCAATCTCAACCCAGCGGCAGCAGACGTGGCTGGCTCTCACGCACTGGCCGCAGTCCCCTCCACTGTCCTGACAGGCGTGCGCCTCGGCCCACTCGGGATTGTCTCCAGGGAGAGCCCCTGGCTGGGCTGACCCACTCACAGCCTGGTCACCACAGCCCCGGGCTCTCCTGGTAGCTGAAGGTGGATGCTCACCCTCGGGCGTGTGGCCGCCGGGCACTGGCTTCCAGGTCCAGCAACTCAGGGAGGGCGTCCCGAAGGGGCTGCAGGTCCCCCACCACCACCGTGGCCTGCCGCTTCCGCTCCGCCTTGAGCTTCTGCTCGGCCAGCTTTAGGGCTTCAATTTCTGAGGAAGGGGAAGGGGTTAGCGAAGGAGCCGAAGGCTGGGGAGCCCAGCCATCTGAGCCCAAGCCTGGGCCTGCTCCCTTTCCTGCGCCCTTCCTGCCACAGGCAGGCCACTCATTTCTGTCCTACTGGCACCTGCAAGTCGCCCTGGGAACTGGGGGGCTGGGGAGGGCAGGCTGGCTCCAGGCTATTTTTTCCCCTAATCACAGAGGTGCACTTTTAAATTACATGGCTGATGATGAGACTGGAGTGTAGGGTCTGAGGACTTTCCTCCTGAAAAAAACTCGAGGCCAGGGCTCTTAGAGGGTGGGGGGAGCCACCGTCACAGCAAGGTTGGTGGGAACACTGCACACTCCTGCGCTCCCCGAGCGCCTCCTGCGATGCACACACAGAGAGTCCCGCGGGAACAGGTGGTGGTTCGGGGTGAGGGTGCGACTCCCTCACTGAAGTGGGCAGGAGACCGGTGCCCGGGGACGTCTCCGAAGGCTTCTGCACAGCGCCGGAAGGGGGCGCGGGCTGGGGAACGGTGGCGGAGCACAGCAGGGTGCGGACGAGCCGCAGGACGAGGCCGCGCTGGGCCCAGAGGAGTGTGGGCAGGGCCTCAGCAGAGCACAGCCTTGAAATTTGATTTCCATTTAAAAATATATTTCAAAATTGCTAATAAAACACATAATCAAACATGCGATTTCCACAGTGTGGCTTGTGGAAAATGCTGGCTTGCTAGTGGGAGCACAGATCTTGGACAAAGGCCCTCCCTTCCCCAGGGACAGGGGCCAGGCCAGTGGCTCAAACACAGGCAGCCGAGACAGACTTCGGGGATGGCCGGGGGCTGCTGTGCTTACTGAGCTGTGCTGCCCGGTCTGGTGCCTTGCTCTGCACCAGACTTTGCTCATGTATAAAAGGGCCTGCTCCTAAAAATGCCTGGAAATGAGTGCAGTGATGGGCTTGGGTGAGACTTGAGCTTGACAGCCACCTCACCCTGGTGTGTTGGGCTATAAATAACAAGGTACGAACTCTGAATCACATCTAAACAGGAAACTAAAACACCCCTTCCTGACAAAGGACCAGTGCAATTCACAGCTAGCTCCTCACTGAGCACAAGATGCCCCCAAAGAAAAGAGGCATGCCCCGGCTGGCGTGGCTCAGTGGATTGAGCGTCGGCCTGAGAAACAAAGGGTCCCTGGTTTGATTCCCGTTCAGGGCACTTGCCTAGGTTGCAGGCCAGGTCCCCAGTAGGGGACACTCAAGAGGCAACTACACAGATGTTTCTCTTCCACTTTTTCCCTCCCTTACCCTCTAAAAATAAATAAATGAAATCTTAAAAAAAAAAAAAAAAGAGAGAAGAAGAGGCAAACAGTGGTCCAGTAGCAGACTGTGCCCTCGTGTATCCTGTGACTCCACAGCCAGACCCTTCAGAGAGCCGTGGCCACCATCGGCCCCACAGGGAGGACCCAGGAGGCGGTGGTGGCACAACAGTGATGGCCACCAGGCACAGAGCAGGCCGGGAGAAAACAGAGGCGGGGACGGGAAGTCCTGTGCCTAGGGACAGACTCAGGACAGCCCACTGACTACTGCTGAGAAAGCGTGTGTGGCACCCGCCCCAGCAAATGTGTGGAAGATGACTGGCGAGTGGGGACCCAAACAGGCATTGTCAAGAGGAGAATTTCCAGAAACTGACACTATTCATCTTCCACCAGGGAGAGGCACCTGGCAGGCTTCCCGAAGGCCAGCTCCTCTCCCAGCTCATAGCCGAGGCGGCACTGCCCGCCCTGACACCCCAGAACTGGGCTGCCCAGAGCCAGTTCTAGGAGGCCCAGCCTGTGGAGAATGGGTTGTTCTCCTGGCCCCAGATAACTGAGTCCAGGGGACAGACCACCCATCCTCCTGGGCCCTTGTGCAGCGAACCCCACACCCTCTCTCAGAGCCCCAGAGTTACTGGGGCTCATAAAGTGACATCTCAGATCTTCCCATCCTTCCAGGATGAGGGTGAACTGTTTGCTCAGCACCTTGTCATACCAGATGCCACTTCCTAGAGAGCTCAAGGACGCAGGGAGGGATGGGGGTGTGGGGTGAGGGCTGAGGGGCTGGGGTGGGGGCCTCAGGGTAGCAGCCTCAGGCTGGGGAAGGAGCCGGGCAGGGCGGTGCTCCAAAGCCACCACCCCTTCACCGGCTGGAAGGCAAACCCGGCAACAACGCCACACCAGGACCGAGGACCAAGTGCAGCAAAGCAGAGACCGTGGCTCCCAGGAAGGTGGATGCAAATGCTAAACCGATCAAAGTCAACGCATTTTAAACTAACCCATGGCATCCAACTAGGGAGTGTCTGAAGCATGCAAGGATGGCTCACGTGGCGATGTCTGCCACGCGGTCCACTTCAGTGGCTGCTTCAGAGGGGGAGGCCACTAGTCACCGGAAGTAACAAAAAGAATCCAATAGAACTCACAATCCGGTCACGATAAAAATGACAATGAAACCATGAACAGAAGGAACTGCCATCATCTGACACAGATGCCCTACCAGCGAGGCCTGCGGGAAGTATCACACGCAGTGAAACACCAGCCACATGCAGCTGTGAAGGAGAAGCGCATGCCTGCGACCCCGCGCCATTCCCGGCCAGCGGTGCAGGGCCAAGGCGGGGGCGGTGGACGGGCTGCCCCCCACCTGAGGACACCCCGGCTGCTGTGACAGCCCACGCGGGCAGGCCCAGCCTCCCCGCCAACCCACAAGTCTGACACCTCGGCCACGGCCCAACAGGAGTCTTCAACGAATCCATGATGCTGGTTATAAATCATATTCTTTAAGAAGCCTTAAATGCCAAAACAGTTTTGGGAAAAAACAAGCAACCAAAGAGTTGGCCTACTGGATGTTAAAGCAAGTTAGGAAAGGACAGAAATTCAAACAGACCCATGTGTAAGAGGGCTTTGCAGGGAGGCAGGGACTTTAAGCCAAACTCCACACCAATGAATCCCTCTGGGGGAAAATGAATCCCTCTCTCCCTCCTTCCTGCTAGTCTTAAAAATTAATTATACAAGAATTAATCATGACAAATCAGAGAGAAATTATAGGCCAAAAAACACAGGAAGAGCTGTTCAGCTCCACCTGAAATGAAGGAAAATGACAATGGTGAATGCCATTTTTCACCTGTCAGGGTGGCAGATTTTACAGTCTAAAATGACCAAATGTGGGGGGTCTGGGGACAGCAGGGGCAGGGAGCCCAAACGCTGGAGGAAGACTGAGTGAGGGCGTCAGAGGGAGCAGTACGCCGTCCCCCAGCCCTCCTAGACCCACAGGGCGCCCCAGTGCCTGGAGAGCTGTCGGGCAGGTCCTGCCTCGCTGCCCTGGGGGCTGGGGAAGCATGCGAATGGGAGGAGGGGGGCGGGCATTCGGGGGGAGGACTGGCAGGGACACAGGCCTTGGGCAGGAGCTGCACTTGGCAAGGTGCAAGAGGGTAGACCCACAGGCAACAATCCACACACTCACGCACACCATGCACTTCTAAAGCCCCGCACCCCAGCATGAGCGCGCAAGTGAAGAGAAAGGTCTGCCGTTTAACCTCACACAACCAACCAGTGCTCACTCCTGAGCGGAAAGCCAGGTGCAAGTTTGGTAGCTTTATCAGTTTTCCTTGAAGAGTTTCATAGCTTATTATTTATTTGCAGTAAAACATTACTCTGTCCTCAGGCGTGGATTTCCTTCTACCCAGGCCTGGAAGGGGAGGGGGTGCCCAGGTGGGGCGGACCGTGAATTTAAGGGGTGTCGGCCCTGTGCCCCACCGAGCCCACCACCCCTCATGGCAGAGAAGTGGTGGAGGGAGGACGGAGGGCGAGCTTGAGCAAGCACCGCCCTGCTGCCCTCGGCCCCTGCTCTCCTTGCCTTTGCCCCGCAGGCCAGGTCAGTCCTGGCGCCCCAGGACCCGGGGGCCTCCTCACCCTCATTGGCCCCCCACACCCCTGTCTCTCCAGGAAACCGTTCTGAGGGTGCTGGACTGGACTGGACTGGACTGATCCACATGCTGACGTCTGTCCCACCACAAGCAGGGTTTCATGGCCAGCCTACTCAAGAGCAAAGGGAGACAAGAAAAAGTTCCTTCTATCAACTTTGTGGTCTAAAGCAGCAAGTTCTGAAGCAACGACAGTTGGAGAGTATCCCCAGGGGCTTGACTGGGGGCAGGGCACAGCCGCCCCTGCCCCCACACTCTCCTTCAAGGCTCAGTGCAGGGAGGTTCCCACAGACTGACAGGCTTCATCCTGAGAGGTTTAATTTAAAACTCGCTGGAGGTGCAATCAAGGAAGCATAGCAGGGCTTTCAGTCAAGATGGCAGTGTAGGTAAACACGGTACTCACCTCCTCCCACAACCACATGAAAATTACAACTAAACTGCAGAACCACCATCATTCAGAGCTGCCCGAAACCTAGCTGAACAGAAGTCCCAGAACTAAGGATAGAAAGAAGAAGCCACGTCAAGACTGGTCCCTCACCCATGTGTGGTTGTTAAAAATCAGGAGAGCTATCTTGGCTATGGAGGTCCCAGCCCCACACCAGGCCCCCTGCCCAGGGTTCCAGTGCTGGAAAGAGAAGCCCCCATAACTACTGGCTGTGAAAACCAGCGCAGATTGTGGCTGAGCGAGACGGAGGGCTTCTGGAGTCCCGGGCGTTCCTCTTGAAGGGCCCACACCCTGACTGACTCGGACTCACGGCCTCTGCGCTCCAGCGCTGGGGCAGCAGTTAAAAGGTGCCAGGGACAGATGGGGGAGAAGCTGAATTGTCCATCAGGGGCTGAACAAAGGCAGCTTTTCCCCAGACAGAAGTGCTGGCAGAGGCCACTGTTCCTTTGCTGAGCCCTCCCCCAACAGAGACAGCAGACAGGCGTCATATCTGAGTCTCCATCAAACTGGTTAACACGGTTCACCCCATTTTGGTGATTCCCTCAGACTTCAACCCACCCAACTTGTGGGGCCACCCAAGCCCAAAAGTTTCCAATGGCTTTTACAATACATACCA